ATAATAATAATAATAATAGATTATATATCTATTATCTATTTGTGGTGGCCGAATTTTGCTATTCAAAATGCTTTTTAATGACTGCATCGATTGACATGCAGTTTTCGCCGAAAGATTCTTTATAATATTCCCCAGATCATGACGCCCTTCGTTTTTTTCAGTTTTGAGACAGTTTTGCTGCAAAAAGCAAAATTTCTTTATTTTGCCGATCGCTTTTGTAGGCCGACGCTTCTGTCTCTGTAATTTTAGAAAATCCACCAGGTTTATTACTTCATGTCGTACTTCCAGGGGCGGTTTGTTAACTGGGCAATACCGGCGGTGCCGGTCAAATTTTTGTCAACTGGACTGTTGACAAGAGATTTATAGCTGATAAGGATTTTCATTCAGTTTTAAGTAAATCCAAACAAAAATGCATCAACAGTCAAAAAGCACCTTGCCGATTTGAAGGCGTTCAAATAGACAAGTGGGATTCACTGCTGGTTTGTCGCGTTTGTTTATCACGCCGGCTCACAACTGTTACTGTTAAATCGTCTCCCGTCACGTCGCGGAACTTCGTACGAGGACAAACCGAACACGGCTCGCTCAGCGATGACGTCAGTCCGCTGGGCAAATCCATCGACAGTCCACAGAGCGAATAGAACATTCCTTAATTGCCAAATTGGCCTCTGTGTTGCTTACAAAATTAAGAATGAGACTGTCGTGAGCAGCACGGACACATGTATTATTTTATCAGCAATACATGTATTTATCATTCAGCCTTTCTCTATCTATTATAAGAACATTTATTGTCAGTATGGCACTAATCTTTTTTTGTTTATGGAATTTTTAGCCACCTATAGTTCCTGTTTGGTATTTATTCATCGCTTTATCCCCACTAAAAACAATAGACTAATAGAAACCGGCGAAAGGAGGAAGCGTCTAGTTAAGATATATAAGGAGAATTATAACGAGGAGCGATAGGCACTCGGCTGTCAGAGTCTGGGTCGAGAACAGTTAGGCCTACCCCTCCCTTCCCTCCCCCTTTCCATCGTCATCCCAGCAAGACACAAAGTTCTATAATTAGCATTTGACACACTTCCCCACTTTGTTACAACAGTGTTCTGTTCTGAGAACTGAGAAGTGCAATGCAGAACGTTTGGTGATATAATGATTGGAAACTGTTGTGTGCTAACTTTGTCCAGCTTTGTATAGTATCTGATTGTAGACTTGATCTGCATGGGACTGCGTCACTGGTACTGTATC